ATTGAACCGGTTAATAGATATATGAAATTAAGGGAATAATTATGGAAATAATTATAAAATAGATATCTGGACAACCTAGGTCAAATATAGACCCAAAATATAGTTATAGACGGTTTTTAATTTATAATGTCGATTCTTAGTCTATTTAATTTAATTGGGCCATATAAAACTAGTTAAGTAATTAAATAAGGGAATATTAATATTAATGGTGAAATAAATAAATCACTGAGATTGAAAAATAATATTCTGGACTAAAAATGATGTTGGAATAAAATAAGGAAAATAAAATAAGGTTGGATTAGCTAACATAAATAATTGACTATATGTAGACTTAATAAATAACTTAGTTATGTAATTAGTGGACTAATTCAATTAATAATTTTTATGATTTATTATTAGATATTCGGACTTCATATAAATATTTAAAATATTTGAATTCATAAATTAATGGGTTAATATAAATAAAGTAATTAGATAATAATTTATGAGTAGAGTAAATTAATGGTGATTATTGAATAAAAATTGGATGTTGTGGTTAATTATATTCGGATATTTTAATTAATATTAGAATTCAAATATTGTAATTAATGGCTGAATTAATAAGGTAATTTGATTAATAAAAAGTTATTAATCAAATAAATTCGAATAACTAATAAATTAAGTTAATAAATAAGGAAATAAAAGGGGAAAAATTGAATAAAATAATTTATAAATAGAATAAGTGACTAATTATATCATCTAAATTAAAAAGGTGCTCATTTAGAGACTGGAATTGAAGAAGAGAAGTAGGAGCATTTGGATTTAAGGTAAGTTTCACGTCAACCGAAATTAGTTCTTTTTCTTCGTGATTTCTTTTAAATATATTGGGTGCATATTTGAGAATTGAATTTATGTGTGCTGAATTTGAGTGAATATTATTATACGAAAGGGTTGTATTTGAGATATTAGTTGATATATTGTTTTGTTGATGAGTTATTATATATAATTTTGGGAGATTTTATAATAGTACGTAATTTATTATCTTTGTGGGAGTTTGACAAAAAGGGGATTTTTGAAGTATAAACTTCGATTGATTTTGAGAAAAATAAATATTTTCATAAAAGGTGAGCATCACGGGAGAAATTCGTGGTGTTGGTTTTCCACATCCCTTAAAATGTGGAGAGTGGTTAGGTCTACTACTACTCAATTTTTTGTTGGTTTTGGTTTGAGGTGAATTGACAGTCGGTAGAAAACATCCCGGCTTTTGAGTAGTAGGGGTAGTAGTAGATCCTAATCATTCAGTTTTTTAGGTGGGGTAGTTGGTAGAAAACATCACGGCTACCCGGATCGACTTACTAACCCGGAGGGCTTGGAATACCTTTAGGGGGTGTGCACACTTAAAGTAGTTGTTTCCGTTTCCAAGGAGCAGTTGTGGTACCGTCGATAGTTCCGGGGTGGCCGTACATAACAACGGACCACCGGGCTCAACCAGAGTGTTGAGCACCGCCCTTCTAAATTACTAGGAAGTTAGATACAAAGTGATTTTGGGGGAAATTCAAAAGAGGGGAATTTTGGTGTTTCATGTATTTTGGAATTATTATGGTTTACGAGTTAATTATGTGATTGGGAGTTTATATAGAAATCGTTTACTTATGATTTATGGTTTATAAAGTGTTGAAAAATATTTTATGAGGTTGTACGAATTTTATATATATTATTTATTATTATTTTAAACGGTTAGGTGGAACTTACTTAGTATTATTGCTAATATTTGTTTCTTTTATTTTTGTTTCTGTACTTGATTTTGTACAGGTGTTAAGTTGGTCCCGTTGAAGTGGATTTCGAGAGAGCTTACGCTAGAACACAAAATTAGTAAATAATTGTAATTACATTTTCAGCATCTTAAATTGGTGAACATTTATTTTAGAAGTTTAATCTATTTTGAGTTTAAATTGATTTAGCCTGTGCACTCGGTTAGGTTAGAACCGAGTGTGGCGGTAACACCCTATTTCCCCTTTGAATTTTCCGCTGCACATTTTGTGATGTTTTCAAATAAAGCTAATAATACTTTCCAATAAAGATAATAAATAATGTTTTATTTAAAGGTATTTTTGGGTGGGAAATTTGGGGGTGTTACATAGAGAGTCTATCAGCTTTACAACAAAGCTCTCACAACACACTAACCAACCCGAGGATGCTACACTTAGTCAATCCTCAAAGTCCCAATTACAATATGAAGAAGGGAAAAAGAAACTCTGTCTGGAACTCCGTGAGCAGGTTCAGGTGCCTTGGACTTAGTAAATATTCTCTAAGTTTAGATCTAGTAGTTACTCCCTGATTTAGATCTGTTAAGAGGTTATCCAGGGGATGTGATCGATGATGCTTCCACCCTCTTGGAGCATTTGGTTGATCCACCAATTCGTGTAGAGTATCTGAAACTGGTTCTACAGACTGACTGTGTCACGCCCCGGACCTACCCGGACACGTCAACAACCCGCCGTACAGTACGAATAGTCAACCGCAGTCCGACTCATCCATACTATACAAGGCGTCTTGAATACCATTAACACATAGTACATCCATAAACAAACATAATGTAAAACATTTATTAAAGCAGCGGAAACAGTTAATACAAGTGTTCAAGCCACACTTGGCATAATTAGGCATGCAAGCCCCCAAAGTAATTATTCAGAAAATATTATCCATGAGCATTATTTTAAATTGTTTTCAAAACAGAAATGGAAGAAACACGAACCACGTCTTCTCCCTTCGATCTTCCCGAAGCAACGGGTAGGTGACAGCAACCTTCAAGTTCTACCGGAAACTGTGAGGTGGCCTCCCCCGTGAAGGGGAGGTCAGTACTTGGAAACATTTGACAAGTACAATAACAACTATACTAAGTATAATCAATGTTTAAATTTCTAAGACCCTCAATTCAGGGTGATATTACATTACAGGCCATAACCCTCGGTTACCCATTTTTGCTATTTAAATCATACTTACTTTATATGAAGTCAAGTAGTCGGCCCGTGGGCCCATATTCATTTAGAATTCATCATTTCCATTCCCCCGTGACCGCAAGTCACGATAACCCCGTGGGGTCCCATCGAGCCCCAATTGTATAGCAAGGGCTCGGCCCAACTACATTTCTATACAATCTTCTAACTCAATATAACACATCAAAATTGTATGGCAAGGGCTCGGCCCAACTACGTTTCCATACCAACCATAACTTCGTGGCAAAGGCTCGGCCCAACTACGTTTCCACGAAGATCACAAATACATGGCAAGGGCTCGGCCCAACTACGTTTCCATGCTAATCATATTACATGGCAAGGGCTCGGCCCAACTACATTTCCATGTCATCCTAGAGTCCAACTCTAATTATTTTCATAATCCAATTCTCAAGCAAATCCTATGCCTAGAATCAATTCCCTTGGGTAACCTTTAGGCCCACCCCTAACACACCTTAGTGTTCATACAATTCAACCTTAAAGTATCTCTTGGGACTACTTAAGGCATATCTATTCACAATCCTACCTCTTAGGATTTATTTCATAATTTATTTATATTAATCCCCCGACTAGTATTTTGATACTAATTGGATAATCTTAGAACATGCCAAGTTCCTATTTTCCAATTGGCATTTCATTTCAATTGATTTTCCAACCCAAGTATAGTTTGATCCCAATATCAAAAATATCACTTTAATCCATTCATGAATTTCATACATGAAGTAAAGTATATTTTATCACAATGTCATCATAGTAATTCCATTCACATGCCGTTCCATTCATTTCACATAATCATACACAATTGTTCTAGATTTGTATATCATGCTTCACTTATTCGTATCAATATTATTTTTCATTTAGGCATTATTAATCATTAATAATCCATGAAAATCCCATTTAATTACCTTAGACAATCTTACGAAATTAACTCACTAATTATAAGCAATATAGTCAGCCATCCTCACCTCGTGATGTGCTACAATAGTTGCCCTTGTTAAGCCCCTCGATCAATCCCCGTTCTAGGCCGATTGAAAGTGAAAATCTGGACTGCTGGGCCAAAGCCGGGCAGCTTTCACAAAAGCCGGGCGGCTTTCGTGTTCTGCAGATACGAGCAACTCCCTTAAAGTGGTGGTTTCCGGCGATTTCGACTCCTATCGATTCACCAACTCCTCTAAGTTAAATATCACCACTTTATATCAATATTCTACACTTTTAAACGTGTAGAACTTCATATTTAATCCACCATATGATTTCTTAAAAATCATACTATCAAAAACTAGTTAAAAGAACTATTTGAGTTCTTACCTTAATTTCTAGCCTTTTTGAGTTGGATTTCCTTTACTCCTTGCTTCCTTCAAGCTATGAGATTTGTGAGGGTCTTCTCATGAGATCCTCTCCTTGCCTTGGTCGTATGATTGAGGATGAGAAATGATAGGGGACAACTCTCCTCAATCAAATGGGAAGTCAATGTGTAGGACATGGGGTTTGGTCTCAATCCATCCCCTCTTCCTATAGTTCGACCCCAGCTCATTTTCCTTGTCTCTTCCAGATCCCATTCAGTCAAATGGAGCACACAAAAAACGTGGGGTGGCCCCCACTTAGGTGGGAGGTCATCCCGTTATGTCCCGGTGTGTACAATCGGCCCCGAAAGTTGTATTTCTCGGTCCGTTTTAATTATATTTTATTTTATGAGGCCAAATAAAATATGTCACTCGTTCCTAATAATATGGGCCTTTAGAATAGATGTACATTCCCCAACATTAATTTAGGAGTCTCCGACACTCATTTCGGGCTGTTATCCGCTAAATTACCAATACCGGTAATTGGGCCTCGTTTGACCACCGGTCAACTCCGCGCCTTTCCTATGGCCCAAATAAAATATCCACAACCATATAAATGTCATCTAGACCAAGATGAATATAATATGTGGTTCAAGAATTATCGGGCGGCCCCCGCTCCCGTTGTGGGCCCCACATGCAATTTACTATTCACGTAAAAGAAATAATAAAATTTAACAATTACGTAAATTCATAAATCATCTTTCAAGGTTTACTACATCATTTACTAAAAGTAAACATGCTTGGGGACGGTGTCACAGACTGGCTGAAGTCTGTCCAGTTTCTTCTTTAGTTCTAGACTCATTATATTCATTGGTCAGTGATGGTTCTCCAGTTTGGTTGGTGTCATGGTTAGTTCCACTTTCCCTTTGAGGTTGTATCTCCTTACGTGTCATTCATATTTCTTCATCATCGATTTGGGTTGGTCTTAAGGCAAGTGCTTCATCAAAGATTACATGGATACTTTCTTCCACACATTGTGTGCGTTTGTTTAGAACTTTGTAAGCTTTGCTATGAGTTGAGTATCCGAGGAAGACTGCTTCATCACTTCTTGCATCGAACTTGCCGATGTTGTCTTTCCCATTGTTATGAACAAAACATTTGCATCCAAATGTTCTTAGATGACTAATGTTGGGCTTTCTCCCTTTTAGTAGTTCGTAGGGTGTCTTCCCTAGGAGTGGACGGATCATAGCACAGTTAATTATATAGCATGCCGTGTTTAGTGCTTCTGCCCAAAAGTTTATCGCTAGACCACTGGAAATCAGCATTGTTCTAGTCATGTCCTCCAGTGTTCTATTCTTCCGTTCTACTACCCCATTTTGTTGAGGAGTTCTAGGGGCAGAGAAGTTGTGGTCTATGCCTCGTTCCTTGTAGAATGCATCAAAGAGTGAGTTCTCAAACTCAGTTCCATGATCCAATCGGATGTTGATCAATTGTAGCCCTGTTTGATGTTCAACTTTCCTTACAAAAACAACAAACTCATTAAAAGTATCTTTCTTGCTTGCAAGAAAGATAGTCCAAGTATATCTTGAAAAGTCATCAACAATAACTAAAACATATTCTTTATTTCCTCGGCTACGGACTCACATTGGACCACACAAATCCATGTGAATTAGTTCTATGGGCTTGCTTGTGCCCACCAAATTCTTTGTTTTAAAAGATGATCGCGATTGTTTTCCGGTGGCACAAGCGGAGCAAATATGATCAAGTGAATATTTTATATTAGGTAGCCCAATTACCAAATCATTATTTTTGAGTTTATTTATTAATGAAAAACTAGCGTGTCCAAGTCTTTTATGCCATAACAGGGGATCATTGTAAATAACGCCCATGCAAGTTAGACTTATATTTGGCAATAAATCAAGATCAACCTTATAAGTATTTTCTAGTCTCTTGCCTTCTAGTATAACTTGCCGTGATTCGTTATTAACAATGCGACATACATTATGATAAAAAACTACACTGTTACCTTAGTCACAAAATTGAGAAATACTTAGCAAATTAAACTTTAAACCCTTGACTAGAAAGACATTGTCAATTGCATGGTTAGGTGACTTTCCAACTTTTCCCACGGCAATTATTTCTCCTTTACCGTTGTCTCCAAATGTCACCCTTCCACCGCTAAATGGCCGCAGTGAGAGGAATAATGATTTATCTCCCGTCATGTGTTTAGAAAAACCACTGTCAAGGAACCAGTGATTGTTCCCCCTCACTCGGCGCTGTTCCATAATTAAGGGTTAGTGCGTGGAACCCAGACCTGCTTGGGTTCCATTTTGTATTTGTTTGAGAAATATTTACTATAGTTAAAGCTTCTTTCTAAGGCCTGTTGCCGAGAGTGACATTGATACCTAAGATGACCGACTTTGCCACAATGCCCGCAAATTCGGCTATCATATGTATCAACGTATTTGGTTTTCCAATTTCCATAAAAATCTTTGTCCCTTTTATAAAACTCTCGGTTAGGTGTTTGTCCATAACCCGTTTTGTGTCTTTGAACCAATTTATCGAACCAGGTTGGTCCAGTTCTAGATTGCCTTTGATACGGCCTAGAACTGGTTTGTCCTCTAGTTCTATTACCATAAAAGGATTGGTTCTGAAAAGTCGGATTTTGATTCATTTGGGTTACTCTAGGAACATATCCGAGACCAGCAATCTCGTTTTCCTTCCTTTTGTACCGAGAGGGTCCAGTTCCAGATTAATTTCTGGACCTGGTTCTATCTTTGGTACTATACGGCTGATATTCCGGTTTATTCTTGAAATCATGTCTCTCGTTCTCAAGGCGATTAGGATGATTAATGAGCAAGGCAATGTCCGAAATTTTTTTTAGTAGTTTTTCTTCATCATTAACTAGTTTATTCACGCTATCGAGCTTGAGTGAGTAAATGAGATTATCTTGTTCTAAAACCACTTCACTGTACTTGAGCCTTTCATCTATTAACTCTCCCACTTTTGTTTCCAGCCTTATCTTGGCTCTAGTGGCTTCCTCGAGTTTAGACTCAAGTTCGATGATTTGTGATTTAAGATGGTCGTGTTCAGAAAGACTTTGATTAAGCTCGATAGTTATTCTCTTAAAAAATTTCCGAACCTTGCCTTTAGAAAGGGAATCAAATTTAGATAGAAAGCTTTCTAAGTTTACCTCGAAATTCTCTTGGTCGGAATTAGCCATGAGGCATAACCTTGCATGATTGGAACTCTTTTCACCTTCTTCCTCATCATCATCGGATGAGTCTCCCCAAGCTACCATCATTGTCTTCTTGAGGTCTCTGTTGAACCCTTTGTCTTCATTGGACCTCCGGTGGGAACTGATCTTGTTCTTGTGGTAGGTTCTGTCACTTTTCTTTTGGGGACAATCTTTTGCCCTGTGCTCAAAGGAACCACAAATGAAACAACCTTGGTTATTAATGGATTGAAAATTCTTTTTACCTTGCTTATTCCGGTTGCCTTTGAATTTCCGGTATATCTTTCCGAATTGCTTGGCAAACATGCTCATTTCGTCTTCCGATTCACTTTCGGATTCTTCTTCTTCTTCTCGAGCTTTGAGAGTTATTCCTCTCTCCTTCCTCACATTTTCGGCATCTTGTTCTTCTTGTAAGCCTAACTCATATGTCATGAGTGAACCGGTCAAGTCTTCTAGCGTCATGGTAGAGAGATCTTTAGCTTCTTCTATAGCCGTAGTTTTGGGCTTCCATGCGGAGGGCAAGCTTCTTATAACTTTTCTCACTTGATCTTCCACAGTAATATCCATTCCAAGTGCTGAAAGCTCATTTATAATATTAGTAAAGCGTGTAATCATATCCCTAATTGACTCTTTAGGTTTCATCACGAACAATTCGTAATTACGCATAAATGTGTCAATTTTGGATCTTTTTACACGCGAGGTACCCTCATGTGTAACCTCGAGTAAATCCCACATTTGTTTTGCGGATTTGCATCCAAGAACCCGGTTGTGCTCAGCCGGACCAAGTCCACAAATCAAATATTTCAATGCTTGGGCATTATGCTCGAGCTTACGATAATCATCAGTAGTAAATTCAGATTTAGGTTTAGGGACAATCTTACCTTCGGCATCCACCTTAGTGATGATGTTATCACCTGCCTCAATTACGTTCCATACCTGGTAGTTCTCAGCCTTGATGAGGTTCTCCATTCAACTCTTCCAGAATTGGTAAAATTTGCCGTTGAACAACGGTGGTCATTGAGTTGAGTAACCTTCTTCCAATCTTTCAACCGTATTCATATTGCCGGTTCTCTTCCCAAGGTTTTACCCTTTCTGTGGTGAAGACCGACTCTGATACCAATTGATGAAATGGTTAGCAACACAAGAGGGGGGGGGGGGGGGGGGTGAATTGTGTGTGTGTGGAACCGTGGCAGATTTTCGCACAATTCTAGTGTGGGGTTCAGGGAAATGCGAAATAGTAAAGGGCACAAGGATTTAACGAGGAAAAATCCCTTGGCTCAAAGGGATTAAAAAACCTCGACCTCCCTCGGAGGAATTTGAACAACTCCACTAAAAAGCCTTTGAATGATTACAAGGGAAACTCTCCTAGTCTACCCTTGAGTCACCCCAACTCTATCCTCTCTAGGAAGAGTTATGCTTCTCTACCTTGCGGGTAGAGAGCCTCTCAGGTTTACAACAAAGCTCTCACAACACACTAACCAACCCGAGGATGCTACACTTAGCCAATCCTCAAAATCCCAATTACAATATGAAGAAGGGAAAAATAAACTGTCTGGAACTCTGTGAGCAGGTTCAAGTGCCTTGGACTTAGTAAATATTCTCGTGTATATTTCTCAATAGAAGCTCGGTCAAGCACACAACTTTTGTTTGGTCTTCAGTCCAATATATATAGCATCCGTAGCCTCTCCTTTCCTTGGTTGAATATTTGGACTTTCCTTGATATTTTGAATTACCTTCCTTGAATAATATGTCTCATACTTTGAGCTAACGGCATATGTCAATTATATTGATAGACACAAGATATTCTAGAATATGTCAATTGAAAGAATATGTAATGCATGCAACGGTCTCAAGGTAATATAGCAAGGAAAGAATATATCTACCTATTATAGCAAGAAGCAACGGTTCACAATAGGTAAGCAATATTCTATTCAAAAGTATTTAAAATATTTAATCATGGATGTAGATAAATTCGTATAGTAGGAGATGCAATCAAATCATATGCTACCAAAAATATTCCTTTTGATGTATTTTGAAAGAGGACCATCAATATAAACATAACAAGATTACTTTCTATAGTAAGAGAAACGGAACATGGTAGCAAATACTATTTAGCTTATTTGAATTTATTCGAATAATGTAAGGAAGCTTTCCATAGTACATTACTCAAATCATGCAACGACCTTAATTTAGCAAGCCACTATTACTTTTTATAAAGTATGAAGCACAATTAAGGTTAACTTACTTAAGTGGTGTCCAATCATTTATAAAAAGATATTTGAATTGTGCCTCTTTCATGATTACCTTTTATAAAGTATAAAGGCATAATCATTTATGAAAAGATGTTTAAATTGTGCCACTTTCATGCATAACATATCTAGGTACGTAGATATGGCATTATCATGCAATAACATATGAATTCATTTATTCGTTATGTACATTAATCATTCACACAAAACAGAACTAAGTATAGTTTTAATTTTCGTTCCTGATAGAACGGAGAGAAGTTCTATCCGCTGGTCTACCTGCAGGGTTAGTCAACGATAGTTCCTTCTTTTGTTCCTGTATGGTTAGTCATCAACAAAACTAAATATTCAACAACGAGTTGCTCTAAAGTTCTTAGACCTCTTATTAGAGACCTTGATGGTCGGAAGTGAGTGCTCTGCTCGTGACCCTTGAAATGAATGATTTTTTTGCTCGCTAACTATGTTGTTTTCTTTTATGTACTAAAAAATTTCAGTTTGATATGCATTTATGTTTTAAACTCAACTTTTGAGGTTTGGAATTATGGTAAACATATTTGTATTTCTTGTAATTTCAAATGTTGAATGCCTTTTGGGCAAAAATTTAACAATGATTTGTAAGAATTTTTTTAAAAACTAGGAATGGTTAAATGACAAGAATCGAACTGTTAAGAATGGTGTGGTTCCATATCGATTCTATACAAAACTTATAAGAACCGAGCCATTATTAAGATTTTGTGATGAACCCAAATGCAAGTCATTTATTCATTCACATATAGTGTGTGTGTGTGTGTGTGTGTGTGTATAAGGGGAGGGGAGCTAGGGTACAACATGACATGGGCCAAGACATATGGGCATGTGCTAGGAACTATGGACATCCATATTTATATAGCACTCTCCCTTGGATGTACATTGCTAAATAGAAGTATTACAAGAAAATATAATACAAAACATTATTCTCTTCATACGTGTTGGTGATGATGTCTCGTTAAAAAAACTTTCCCGAGGAAATCTTAGTGGGGCAAAACATTGATCAAGGGAAAAAAAGTGCAGCGCGTATATACTCCCCTGTTGACTACATCGCTTCAAAACTTCTTGTTGTATCCAATATAATCTGACAACTAGTTGGAAAAATAGTACTCCTTGTAGCAAAAATAGTACTATATGTATGTCTCATTAAAAACCTTGTTGGAAAAACCCTTTGGGAAAACCAATTAAGGAAAAGAGTACTTTATATATGTAAAACGATGTGTTGTATTGACTGTCTCATTAAAAACCTTTAACTAAGCAAACCATGTGGGAAAAACTTAATAAAGGAAAAGAGTACAGTCATTGGACTTCGAGGCCTAATTTTCTGGATTGCATTTAAATTTATTCTTCCAAAGAAAATAATACTCCAAATCTTATGTATCATAATTCATAATATGTTGTTTGAGAATCACAAACTGCCTCGTTAAAACCTTTGACCAAGAAAAACTCTATGGGACAAAACTTGGTTAAGGAAAAAGAGTACGGTTGCATTTGATCTTCCGGACCAATCAATTATTCGACCTCACAAGTACCAATTAAGAACTTCAGGGTACTATTTTTTGAACTAATATTTAAAACACACTTCTTGAGGATAATAGTCTTCCGAATGTTATGTATCTTTCTCATTCTTTAAAAATCACAAAATACCTTAAAACCTTTGGCCAAGAAAACCCTTTGGAAAAAAACTTGGCTAGGAAAAAGGAATAACACATGGTCTTCTGGACCAATTATATGTTTCACCTCAATCGACTTCATATAATTTGAGCTGATGAAAATTTTTAGTATACAAAACCTCCATCATTATTTATACACATTTGACGGGCATCAGTAACCGAACTCTTCAAGAGTTTCTAAGCAGAAGCAATTGTCTAAACTCATGATTTTGTAATGTGTATTCTAAGACCATTTATAATACCACTCCAGCAACTCAAAACACGCCCTCAATTGGGTCCTCCTGAATCATACGTAGTATAATTTATCACAATGCGTTGTAATAGAATCATATTGAAGAACTGATTTTGTAGTAATAATGCTGAAAGTTTTTTATCATCCTTTGGAGCTTTTAGATGAACGATGCTTTGCACCTTAATTTAAACAGCGGAAAAATCGAGCAAATAAGGGGAAACTACCCCGGTTTTATAAAAAGATCTGGAGCTGTGTCTAAATAACTTTGACAAGGAAGGGAGAAATTGTAACAATTTTAGAGGTAAGAAGGGTTTGATCAGTAATAAGACAAGCACTTTTATTTGTCTAATACCTTCAAATATTTTTCTACGCTCTTCTAAACCTAGAACTTTAAAAAGAAATTGTCCCATATAGGACTAAAAAACTTTTAAAATTCATAATTAGAACTAAGTATGTTTATTTCCCTAAGTAGGACTTTATTAATCCTATACTAAAACATACGTATTTTACCCGTACAGAATTGCCCCTGCGTTGAAAATACCGGACTCATTGTGCGTAACCATTTTTCCCCATTTTTTTGCTTCCTGATTTTCAGACATTCAGTTACGATGTTTTCCCCTTGTTTTACGCTCCCCTGTATTATCTCCTTCCGTTTTCACCGTGTGTTTCTGTATCAACGAATCGCTTATGCCATATCTCATCTTTGCTCTGTCTATCATAAGCTACGACCAAACGCATATGTTGAGGTGAAGTGTTGCAATTGTTCTGGTAATTATCAACTGCTAATATTATCAGTTTCTTCATTATTCATCTTTCGTATTATCGGATGTTGTAGAAGAAGGTAGCGACAATTGTCATGTATTTTAATGTATTTGTTGTTAATGACAAGTGGATGGTAACATAAGAGTATAAATATGGTGAACAATGGCAAAAACATAATGTACAACTATGTTATGCTTTGAATGTTACGCCAACAAATTTTTTGTCACCGGTTTTCAGTACTAGTTTTTGTGCTATTGTGTCAACTCTTGCCACAATTAGGTTTTGTCATTCTGAGGCAGAGGATTCGTTTGTTTCATTGCATGGAAAGAAGGATGGATTGCTTCTCCATCACACACTCACCTTCTTATAAGGCGGAGAGGAAATACATAAACAAATAAAATAAAAAAATAATAAGAAGATGAAAAAAGGAAACAAAGTGTCATAAAAACAAACGGAGAAAATTTCTAATGAGAAAAGGTGAAAATTGATACTCCCTACGCACTCCTAACTTTGTCCCGTTTTACCTTTTTCGTCCGTCTCATTAAGTTTGTCCCATACTATATTTGATAATATTTGGGTGGTTACAATCCATTCTTACTTTATTCAAACTTTATCAATTTAATATCAACCACATAATTCTATTTTTTCTTAAAAATCATACCACACCCTTTGTTCCAAACTTAGGGGGATAGAGGTAGTATATTGCACTGTCTTAAGAATCGGTGAAAAGGATTGTTGATGCGATATTTTAATTGAAAATGTAAAAAACATGATATAAGAATGATAGAAGAAGTGCTAATACTTTCTTTTCCCAAGTGTCATTCGGCTACGTGAGTCCTGCGAGTTTCATAAACTTTGGAGCAGCGCCGCCTCCTAGGGTTTTCCTAAGGGCGTTTGTCCGGCTACGATTGTTCAGTCGTGGTGCGAGTTTGGATTTTGCGTCTGTTAGTTGCTGATATAGGCATAACATATCGATTCTGTGTTTTCTTTTTTGGGATTGGGGTCATCGACCTAATCATTTTGGGATCTGTCTTGGTTGATTCGAGCAAAGCATTTGTTGGTGGGTTTAATTGTGCCCGAGGTGCTGGGTCTCGACAATGAGCAGGTTCGGAGGTTCTGACAGAGGGTTAGAGCAACAGTTTTGCATGGATAGCTTCGTGGACAAATACAAGAAGATGGCGAGTGGGGCAAAGGAAGAAGATCTGGATCCAGATGGGGCTGATGTTGAGATTGTGGCGGATAAATGGCGGCCCCCGCCCTCCTGAGCCGCCGCCATGGAGTGCAAGTAAATCTAGGATTTGGAAAAAGACTTATCTTATTTGTTTTGTTTATTTTTCCAGCGGTTTTTATGTCTGCTTTGTTATTTTCTTTTTCTTTATTATTCCAGTTTGTAAGACATTGATTTTGGATATGGGGGATGAGAGGAATATGGTGACCGTTTTTGGCTCATTTGTGCCCATTAATGGATCAACGAGTTATATTGCTTCTGATAAGGTGATTAACTATGAGTCTGGTTCGCGGGACGACGGTTGTCAGGATTCTACTTTTCAGATTACCCATCGTCTAAATGTTGAGATTTCAATTTAAGCCAAATTCTTCCAAAAAAAGAATGATAGAAGAAGTAATTAATGGGTTATAAGGCACTAAAGAAGATGTGATGCAAATGTGAGGTTGCTTTGAGAT